TATGCGTACATTTGTGTATGTGTTCCGGAGACAGGGTATGTTGGTGTATTTGCCTCCTAGTGGTAGCACGGTGTTTGGATTTAAACTTTTCTCAAATACCAGACTGATCCCAAACTATTCAAATGGTATGACTAAATATTATCATAATTATGTATGTTGAGATGCTGGATGTGATGTGTTTTGGACACTGAGAAGGTTGTCTCCAACTTGTTGTAAACACGGTTAAGATATACTTCTTTCAAAGATCTTTGGACATATTCATCTTAAGCACTCAAATTATATGAACTGCGTTTTATCGGTGGAATTCGAGAAAAATCTTAAATATAAACTCTGTCCTTTTAACATTTACCTTAAGACGACTTAGCATATTTTGTTGTTGTCACCGACTTCATCAAATAAAAAATTGATAATTTGTAAGCTTTCGGAACAGTTTGTACTTTATGTACTTATATCAGGAGAGTGACGGTTCCCTGCCACGTGTTGTCGCGCCTGCAGGAGTCGTTCAGTGAGAACGCGTACATAAACTAACATACCGGATAATCTGTCATTGCTGATTACATCAAACCACAACAAACTGATGCAATGTATACGATTCCTTGGTTCAGGATCCCGACGCTTCGAGAGACCCACGTTTTACACCCAAGCCGTGACGTAACTGTGGACAGAGATTCCGGGTACTCTCGGGTTACAGACGGCTCACAGACCCGTATTGTAGGTCTGACGGGAAACAGTTGTGAAGACGACGACAGAAAGGTGTCAATTTGAGGAGGAAAATTAAGTGCAGGATGGGTGTATTTTATCCACGTTTACGTAATACATCGATAACGTTTACGTGCCATCTGTCCTGTTTGGTCGTCGTCAGTGTTAGGGTGTTAGGGCCCCAGGTTCGTGTACTCACCTTTGATATATTTAATACCTAATACTATGTCATGTTGTACGGTAATAATGTTGAACACTCTTTCCATATTGTGTAAAATATCGATATCGTAATTCACTCACTCCGGTCTAAGGAGTATGTACATAGTATTACGATACGCGGACAATATTGCATTTTACAAAGCTGTACGTGTATGGTGACGTGTGTTTTGCTTCGATTTTTTGACGATGTGATATATTTGTTTATATTTTACTTCAGGTGAAAAGCTTTGTGTCTTTAATGAGGTTGAATGGCTTGCTCTTAGTGATAGTGTATCGGTTCTGGTGCAAAGGAACAATATATGGTTTAGTTTCTTTTGCTTCACATACTGTTGATTAATACAACCAAGTATATGGTTTAAAATATTTAGTTGGCTTTACGAAACTTTTGGTGCGTCCCACGTTTCCTTACTGGGACCAATTTTGTTTCTTTATTGTTTAATTTATGAATACTGTCATAGAGTTTGGGAATAGCGTCTCACTGTAAACAACTGCAGCTGATATAAAGATTATGAATGATGTAATACGTAGAAACTAAAGTGAAAGTAAAACGTGCTGCAAGTTTATACAAATCAAACTGAAGTGTATCAGTTTCAATTGTAGTGTATATAGGGAGATTCTGAAAGATGACACATGCATTTTATAATGTTTGTTTGACATCTTTCAAAATCACTTATTTCTCAGACATCTATATGAAGGTTTACAAAGAAGCTTTTTCAGGAGTCCATTTGAATACCGAGGTTATATCGGGTCTTCTTACCTGACGTCCTTCAAAAAAGAATGGAACTTTCCAGCGCAAATATTTGATATTGTTATGTTTGAGACTAAAGCGGAATTGTCTTACGCTGGCACTTGTACCTAGTTTGCCTTGAGAGCATCGAGGAGAGGCGGGTATTTTTAAACTATTTGCGTTTCTTATTAACACGGATACACAGATTTTATTCTGACTGTATACTATAGGACTTAAAAATCCTCTGCTGACAGCTCAGTACGGGTTGAACAAATTCTGACAAGAGCATCGACAAACAAAGTATTGTCTAAGTGATTATTTGAATAACTTTAATCGTTAATAGTCGAGATGAAAAGCGTATAATCCCAAGTAGAGTATTTACATGTGTTCACAACATTCATTTGATAATAAATTATCGGAAAATAAGTTCATTTTTTAACTACAGGTGTATAATAAAATTGGTTCTCTATAATTATAGAGTATCGGTTGGTTTCTCCAGTGATGGTCTAGGCAAGACTCGAAACATTTGATAGTTCTTGGGGTCATAATTCCAGTTGACAGGCTGTTCCAAATGTCAACAGTTCTGTGACAAAATGAATTCTTTCTCGTGTTTAGGCGCGTTCTACCCTTGGATAGTTTATACTCATGACTCCTAGTAACAGTATTGTCCTTCTTTTGTGACATGAACTTGGACACTTCGGGATCATATATCCCTGTCATGATTGTAAAAAGATCAATCATGTCTCCCCTGACGCGTCTGTAAGCCAATGTTGAGAGCTGGGTAGGATAGGTCTGTCATACCCGGCATTAATATTGCTAGTTGCTCTTCTCAGGACGTTTACAATGGCTTCTATAGGTTTGATCACGTTCTTTGATTGTCAATTTTTGGTCCTCTCGTTTTGTTCTGAAGAGTTTAAAGCACAGTTGAAGAACGTTTCCTATCCTGAACACTTTTTTATTTCAATTGTAACATTTTTATACATACGTGCACCGGTATCGCTTAATCTTTGATAAATGCAAGTAGGATAGGCAAATTTTATCTTCGTCATCTCATTGGGGAATACGCCATTTCTTTGTGTGATATGAAGACCGATGGTCTTGACAGTGTTTATTAGTGAGCCTTATTTCATTGTCACTAAGCCCATTCTCCTTTAACAGACGTGACACATCTTGGTTTTGATTAAATAGTACATGTACATGTCGTGAGGGGTCGATAAGGGGAAAATACAGTTATACAACACATGGATTTCTTTCCTTGTACTTCTGCTAGGGTCTCCATGTGCATATTTGTATTTTTATATTTTACCCATGTTTTATCGAATTTGAGACGAATCACCGTTTGGTGGACAATTTTGTATTCTTTTGTTGATTTTTAATGCAAGTTGTGATAAACCATAGATACTTTTCATATTGTGCTATGTCACTCTTTCTAAAGTATTATTCTGAATCCAATCAGGTCTAGAGTTACATAAATAATTTATCAAATTTGTTACATGTACTCAAATATTATATGTAGTGAGGATGGACATCAACTCATTCCTCTTCGTTTTATTTTTTATTCCGTCCTACTGCTTCTGTAATATTGGAAATGAATTGTAGTATAAATTTGTTGATCATTTGTGTAAACTTTGAATACATTTCAAATATGTAAAGTCTATTTTGTTCAAAATTGCAAATAAAATGTTTAAATAACTAGTCAGGCAAGATCATCTGACTATTCGGGTAAAACAATTTTTAAACCCATTTTACCACACCATACGGTGTTTGGATTAACTTTATTGCACTGACTCTGATTTAGTCATACCTTTACTCAGAGGTCATGGATTTCCCCTTTACTATTGTCCTACTTACGTAGTTCGGGGTTTTCCATTTTCTAGGCCTTCCCGAGATTAACCTTCAAACATTTTATAATGCTTCAGGTAAATACACATAGCGATCTAAAGTGTTAAGCATCAATCATTAGCTCCGATGACCTCACTCAGTAGCTAAATTGTATAACTGGGTAGATAGAAAACGAAAGTCCCCAGCTCTCCGATACAGATAAGATCGGGTCAAATGACGTAAGAGTTGTTAAAGTTAATTTTGAAATTTAATGAAAGACAACCTTTTTTACTTGAAAGTTTATGATTTTGGAATCTCCAGAAAATGCCCTTTGTTTTCTGTGCAGAGTCAACACCTAACGAATGTATGAGGCCTGTACCAGGTGAAGGGTATTTAACACATTTACCGGTGTATGCTCTGAGCTTTGTGTAACAGATGTCTCTATGTGGTAGCTTTATCCTGAAGTCAGCACCCTCCAAGTAAACTATTATATTATATAAAATCTTGTTACGTATACTGTAGTATGTGGACAAATATAAATGGGTAATTCTAGAACGTTTCAAAAGAAGTAATTACCGGTATAGTGTATGTGCTGTCACATGTACAAGTTTCATACATAAAACTGTAAATGACAGACAATTAATGCTAACAATAATGAAATATGTAATATTAATATTAGTAACAGCTATCACCTACATATAGTACAAACTTGTGTACTTCATTCTTAATGTTGATAAAGAGGATGAATGGTGTCGATATTCGTTAACAATGCATTATCAATAGATCTAATACAATGTGACCGATCTATCTTCTGATGAATACTCATATCTAAAACCATGTGACCGATCTATCGTCTGATGAATGTTCAGATCTGATTCCATGTGACCGATTCATGGTCTGGTGAATGTTAAGATCTAAAACAATGTGACCGATTCATAGTCTGATATATGATCAGATCCGATTCCATGTGACCGATTCATAGTCTGATATATGATCAGATCTGATTCCATGTGACCGATTCATAGTCTGATGAATGTTCAGATCTGATTCCATGTGACCGATTCATAGTCTGATATATGATCAGATCTGATTCCATGTGACCGATTCATAGTCTGATATATGATCAGATCTGATTCCATAGGACCGATTCATAGTCTGATGAATGTTCATATCTGATTCCATAGGACCGATTCATAGTCTGATGTGTGTTCAGATTTAATATCACGTATTATTTATTGAACATCGATTAACAAAATCGAATAGGCATGTGATAAAAGGTGAATGAATATGTAAAAGTGACTCCAGGATACACGTGGTTCAGATAGACACACAAGGTAACTAAACTGTAATCCACAGGAGTGACTATTATAAGTGGGGTAAGGATAAAAACACAAGACAGTAACCCAGAGTGTATACTACAAGTCCCACTGAAGTGAACATTATGAGTATGGTGTGTCTTACACGTTTATAATCTGTCTGTAGTCCTCTCTGTGAGGGACAGCTTGGCCAACTACTCCTTTCTGTTGGGGGACAGCTAGGCTCTGTACTCCTTTCTGTGGGGGCCCGGGGGGGCGGGGGCAGCTAGGCTCTGTACTCCTTTCTGTTGGAGGACAGCTAGGCTTAGTACTCCTTTCTGTGGGGGGACAGCTAGGCTCTGTTTTCCTATCTGTGGGGGGATAGCTAGGATTAGTACTCCTATCTGTGGGGGGACAGCTATGCTTCTTACTCCTATCTGTGGGGGACAGCTAGGCTCTGTATTCCTATCTGTGGAGGGACAGCTAGGCTCTGTATTCCTATCTTTGGAGGGACAGCTAGGCTTAGTACTCCTATCTGTGGGGGGGACACCTAGGCTCTGTATTCCTATCTGTGGAGGGACAGCTAGGCTCTGTATTCCTATCTGTGGAGGGACAGCAAGGCTTAGTACTCCTTTCTGTGGGAGGACAGATAGGCTCTGTATTCCTTTCTGTGGAGGGACAGCTAGGCTCTGTATGCCTATCTGTGGAGGGAAAGCTAGGCTTAGTACTCCTTTCTGTGGGAGAACAGCTAGACCCAGTACTCCTATTTGGGAAGGACAAAAGACTCAATACTCTTATCTCCTATCTGTGGGGGGGACACCTAGGCTCTGTATTCCTATCTGTGGAGGGACGGCTAGGCTTAGTACTCCTTTCTGTGGGGGTACAGCTAGGCTCTGTATTCCTATCTGTAGAGGGACAGCTAGGCTTAGTACTCCTTTCTGTGGGGGGACAGCTAGGCTCTGTATTCCTATCTGTAGAGGGACAGCTAGGCTTAGTACTCCTTTCTGGGGGGGTACAGCTAGGCTCTGTATTCCTATCTGTGGGGGGACAGCTAGGCTCTGTATTCCTATCTGTGGGGGGACAGCTAGGCTCTGTATTCCTATCTGTGGAGGGACAGCTAGGCTTATTACTCCTTTCTGTGGGGGTACAGCTAGGCTTAGTACTCCTTTCTGTGGGGGGACAGTTAGGCTCTGTATTCCTATCTGTGGAAGGACAGCTAGGCTCTGTATTCCTATCTGTGGGGGGGGGGACAGCTAGTCTCTGTATTTCTATCTGTGGAGGGACAGCTAGGCTCTGTATTCCTATCTGTGGAGGGACAGCTAGGCTTAGTTCTCCGTTCTGTGGGGGTACAGCTAGGCTCTGTATTCCTATCTGTGGAGGGACAGCTAGGCTCTGTATTCCTTTCTGTGGGGGGACAGCTAGGCTCTGTATTCCTATCTGTGGAGGGACAGCTAGGCTCTGTATTCCTATCTGTGGGGGGACAGCTAGGCTCTGTATTCCTATCTGTGGAGGGACAGCTAGGCTCTGTTTTTCTATCTGTGGAGGGACAGCTAGGCTCTGTATTCCTATCTGTGGAGGGACAGCTAGGCTCTGTATTCCTATCTGTGGAGGGACAGCTAGGCTCTGTATTCCTATCTGTGGAGGGACAGCTAGGCTTAGTACTCTTTTCTGTCGGGGTACAGCTAGGCTCTGTATTCCTATCTGTAGAGGGACAGCTAGGCTTAGTACTCCTTTCTGTGGGGGGACAGCTAGGCTCTGTATTCCTTTCTGTGGAGGGACAGCTAGGCTCTGTATTCCTATCCGTGGAGGGACAGCTAGGCTTATTACTCCTTTCTGTGGGGGGACAGCTAGGCTCTGTATTCCTATCTATGGAGGGACAGCTAGGCTCTGGATTCCTATCTGTGGAAGGACAGCTAGGCTTATTACTCCTTTCTGTGGAGGGACAGCAAGGCTCTGTATTCCTATCTGTGGAGGGACAGCAAGGCTTAGTACTCCTTTCTGTTGGGGGACAGCTAGGCTCTGTATTCCTATCTGTTGGGGGACAGCTAGGCTCTGTATTCCTATCTTTGGAGGGACAGCAAGGCTTAGTACTCCTTTCTGTGGGGGGACAGCTAGGCTCTGTATTCCTATCTGTGGGGGACAGCTAGGCTCTGTATTCCTATCTGTGGGGGACAGCTAGGCTCTGTATTCCTATCTGTTGGGGGACAGCTAGGCTCTGTATTCCTATCTTTGGAGGGACAGCTAGGCTCTGTATTCCTATCTGTAGAGGGACAGCTACGCTTAGTACTCCTTTCTGTGGGGGGACAGCTACGCTTAGTACTCCTTTCTGTGGGGGGACAGCTAGGCTCTGTATTCCTATCTGTGGAGGGACAGCTAGGCTCTGTATTCCTATCTGTGGGGGGACAGCTAGGCTCTGTATTCCTATCTATGGAGGGACAGCTAGGCTCTGGATTCCTATCTGTGGAAGGACAGCTAGGCTTATTACTCCTTTCTGTGGAGGGACAGCTAGGCTCTGTATTCCTATCTGTGGAGGGACAGCAAGGCTTAGTACTCCTTTCTGTGGGGGTACAGCTAGGCTCTGTATTCCTATCTATAGAGGGACAGCTACGCTTAGTACTCCTTTCTGTGGGGGGACAGCTAGGCTCTGTATTCCTATCTGTGGAGGGACAGCTAGGCTCTGTATTCCTATCTGTGGAGGGACAGCTAGGCTCTGTATTCCTATCTGTGGAGGGACAGCTAGGCTCTGTATTCCTATCTGTGGAGGGACAGCTAGGCTCTGTATTCCTATCTGTGGAGGGACAGCTAGGCTCTGTATTCCTATCTGTGGAGGGACAGCTAGGCTCTGTATTCCTATCTGTGGAGGGACAGCTAGGCTCTGTATTCCTATCTGTGGAGGGACAGCTAGGCTCTGTATTCCTATCTGTGGAGGGACAGCTAGGCTCTGTATTCCTATCTGTGGAGGGACAGCTAGGCTCTGTATTCCTATCTGTGGAGGGACAGCTAGGCTCTGTATTCCTATCTGTGGAGGGACAGCTAGGCTCTGTATTCCTATCTGTGGAGGGACAGCTAGGCTCTGTATTCCTATCTGTGGAGGGACAGCTAGGTTTAGTACTCCTTTCTGTGGGGGGACAGCTAGGCTCTGTATTCCTATCTGTGGAGGGATAGCTAGGCTTAGTACTCCTTTCTGTGGGAGAACAGCTAGACCCAGTACTCCTATTTGGGAAGGACAAAAGACTCAATACTCTTATCTGTGCAAAGGCAGCTAGGCTTAGTACTCCTTTCTGGGGAAGGACAGCTCGGCCAACTACTCCTTCCAGGGGAGGGACAGCATGACTAACTACTCTTATCTGGGGAGACCCGTTGATCCTATCTGAAAAAGCTAAATCCACGCAGTACGCTATCTAGGGAGGTACATTTTGGTTCAGTACTCTTATCTGGGGAGGGATAGCTAGGTACAATACTCCCATCTGGGGAAGGACAGCTAAACCCACTCAGTTCTCCTTTCTCTGGAGGGACAGCAAGTCACAGTATTCAAATCTGGAGAGGGACAGCCTGCCCAATTACTCCTATTTGGGAAGGGACAGCTAAACTCGTTGCTCCTACCTGGAAGAGACAGCTAAATCCACCCAGTCCTCCTTTCTGTGGAAGGACAGCAATGCCCACTTCTCCCATCTAGGAAGGGACAGCTAGACTCGATACTCCTAACTAAGGAGGGACAGCTAGTCCCATTTCTCCTTTCTGTGCAGGGACAGCTAGGCCCATTTCTCCTTTCTGTGCAGGGACAGCTAGGCCCATTTCTCCTTTCTGTGCAGGGACAGCTAGTCCCATTTCTCCTTTCTGTGCAGGGACAGCTAGTCCCATTTCTCCTTTCTGTGCAGGGACAGCTAGGCCCATTTCTCCTTTCTGTGCAGGGACAGCTTGGCCAACTCCTCCTATATGCTGAGGAACAGCTAGGACACCTACGTAAATCAGTCATCTTTCTTCAATTTTGTAGATACATTGGTATCTTTCTGAATGTTAAAAAAAGCAATAGACAAAATCATTTGGTTATATCGGCGTATAATAAACCATCATAATATGTGATAACCCTCTAAAGTTACCATTTAGAATATTTTAAAAGGATGAATAGAAGTCTGTTGTCAGGTAAACCTACTCATCAATAACAGCTGTCGTCGCGTTTCCTTTCATGACAAATAAAGATAATTTGGATTAGGATACTTCTGTATTTACATAACAAAAGCACATTATTTTGGCATCAAGGTTGTTTTCCATTATGTCCTCTGTTTGGGTATACAATAGACAGTCCATTTCAATAGTAATTGTTCTATCATTACAGTTAAACACAAGTAAATGATGCATAATTCAGAGAGTTCTATCTGGAATCAAATTGGATTTTTATATTAAGAGATACCTTTAAGGAGATGTAAAGTCTCATCTAAACATCTGACCGAGTTTTAGGATGGTTGATTATAATATGGTATGGTTTCGTAATATTAATGTTAACATATAAAATCAAACCACGTTCATTTTTCAATTAAAGCATTCCTTTTAAAACGCCCTTCTTGTAGCGTGGTAAATAAAATCGAACTTCCCATTGAAATGCGGTCATAAAACTATGAATAATACTGCTCCTCCGTTTTCATTGATGATAGGGACATTCTTCCTCTCTGTACGGCCCCGAATGTGTAAATATCTAAGTGTAATTTGCATAGTTTACAGCTCTTTGCTATGAGTTGAACAAGATGGGTTTTGTGATAACATCCATGAGCATCCTATTACAAAGAAGATGACACAACGAAATAGCTGTACATGATGAGTTTGATGACGCTTGGCTCGGTCGCCCATTGACTAGCGAAGAGGTCTTTTTCCGTGGTGTTGCATTTTTAACAGGTGCTTTATGAACTGACACATCCCGAGGACGACACAAACTACATGTTTGACATTGTTGGAGTTTCGTACTAAAATCGTAAATGATGTATTTCATTCGGAAAAGGCGCCACATTAACCGCATACCGTTATTCCCGACACATCTCAATTACCGACAAAGGCTCGGAACCAGGTAATGGTGGATGAAATGGGCATTTTAGATTTACGGCCAAAAGGTTTTGAAATATTTCAGTATAATTTATGAATCTTCAAAAGACTAAAATGAAACATAAAATATATATAGTTATTTAACATATTTCTGCTGCTTTGTAAGATTTTAAAATTAATTAAATGTTTTTTTTATGTTTCTTGTTGGGCTTTTTAATCAATAAGTGTGCTACATATTTCAACGTGATTTTTTTTTCAATTCGAAAATAGAAAGTTCATCAAGTGTAACTCACACATTCTCAATTATTTAAGTATAAATGCACGTATTGCTTACAGATCCTGTCATACAAAATCATATTGTTACATTTAAAATATATATATATAGTAATAAATATTAATCGGCAGATATTGCTATACATGTGTATATTATTAGATATGGTTATACATATTCAGCACGACATACACATAATTATTACATTTATAACATATATATATTAATATATAGATCCGCACAAACTATCCATACACATGTAAATACATAAACCTGGTTATACATATCATTTATATGTAACATTTATAAAATATAGATAGTAATACATACATGTCCTCACATAAATATCCATACACATGTAAATACATAAACCTGGTTATACATATCATTTATATGTAACATTTATAAAATATAGATAGTAATACATACATGTCCTCACATAAATATCTATACACATGTAAATACATAAACCTGGTTATACATATCATTTATATGTAACATTTATAAAATATAGATAGTAATACATACATGTCCTCACATAAATATCCATACACATGTAAATACATAAACCTGGTTATACATATCATTTATATGTAACATTTATAAAATATAGATAGTAATACATACATGTCCTCACATAAATATCCATACACATGTAAATACATAAACCTGGTTATACATATCATTTATATGTAACATTTATAAAATATAGATAGTAATACATACATGTCCTCACATAAATATCCATACACATGTAAATACATAAACCTGGTTATACATATCATTTATATGTAACATTTATAAAATATAGATAGTAATACATACATGTCCTCACATAAATATTCATACACATGTAAATACATAAACCTGGTTATACATATCATTTATATGTAACATTTATAAAATATAGATAGTAATACATACATGTCCTCACATAAATATTCATACACATGTATAATTTGATATATGGTCAAACATATACAGCATGACATACTATCTGTTACATTTATAGAATATAAACTAATACATAGAGATCCGCGTATTCATTTTTACTCAAGAGTATTTTATACATATTCAACATGATATACCAATAATGATATATTTTTTATTTAAATAAATATACATATTCATCCTCACATACATATTCATACACACGTACATGTATATTATTATGTACGGTGATACATATCCGTCCAGCCTGAAATACAAATGTATATTTTATCGGATATTGTATATTCAAAGCCCGACAGACAACTGTACATTTTTTTTTACAACCATCTTTTCAGAAAATAGCGATTCACTGGTACGGAACATACTTCTTTACTTTTATGAGGTTTTATAGATAATTATGATGCAGCGGGACACCCATTCTAGGTATTATCACATGTCAAATTCACATCTATTTCAATAAATTTAAATTATAAATAGGTTTTTTTGGTGGTTAACGTTTAAGTAGGCCAGAGACGGGGTCGAACATCGCGTGCTGTATATGTTATTACTGGCTGTTCGGTGCACTGCTGTGCATAAAGCGACATAGTTAATGTTTTAATATAAAGACTTCCTTATTCATAGCCCCAGCAATCACGGAAATTCAATGAAATAAGTCGTGTTAATGTATTTATAACAGGGATTTGGGAATTCTTGTCTTAAATAGTTGTTTTGTCAACAATCGTTGCTCACTATGAGTATGAGTCACTAACTGTCAAGTAACATGCATAGAGACATTCACAAATGTTCGTACTCATTAGATTGTGACCTTGAAGATGTGGAGATCCCAAGTAACACGGAAGAAACTCCTACTTAACTTTTCAATCTAGTCGCGGCTAGTGCAGACTAACCCTGCATATGGCTTGTTTTAATAAACACAGTTGTCAAATAAAAAGATAACTTTTTTAATATTTTGAGAGAAGAAAAATGAAACTGATATCTATACAGGATATGAAAGAGGCAACATGTACCGAGCAGAGACCAGAACAAAAAGAATCGATCGGAATAACATTACATAATGTTTTTATTTACCGTCAACAAATGTCAAGGTAACTGGCCAGACCTCTAGATACTGTATGATTCATTTATCATAAAGAAGGAAACCCGTTTTCCTTGAACAATTAGCGTTCTGTGAAATTGCTGCAATTAGTAGAACAATAACTTGACTCGTTTATAATCGAAATGGGTATTTTCGTTCTGGTTAATTGACACTAACTATGGGTCCCATTGCAACACTTTTGGGTGTTTATTTTACCCCGTGACATATAGAGGCATGACAACTAGATCAGATAGAATCTTAATATAGTTTAGGCTAATTCACAGAAGTTCGCACGGGGGGTTGTAAGATCGATATCTGAGGCCAATATCTGTATACTGGGGTAATCGCAGATAGTAAATCAATTTAAACGAATTAACTTCATTTTACTGCGAGCTTATCAATCACTGCATGATGGCAATCCTGATAGGTGGCTGTGGAGACTCGAGAATTTCAGTTAAACATACGCTAAATGCGTATTGCAGATATTATAAAAAAAGGAAGTTATTAAGTGAATGCAATACTCTTCAGCTGTTTATTTATTTATTTAAAAAATAATACGAAATGGGGTCTCGCACTTAGGTTTTGATTTATTAGGTGACATAAGAGATGGATATTAGTCCGGAGTGTTTCATTTTGTAACAAGTTAAACAGAAGCTGTAGATCAATAGTCCGGAGTGTTTCAGTTTATAACAAGTTAAACAGAAGCTGTAGATCAATAGTCCGGAGGTTTCCAGTTTATAACAAGTTAAACAGAAGATGGAAACTACTAGCCCGGAGGTTTTATGACAAGTTAAACAGAAGAAGGAGACTCTTACTGAATGATTTGATATCAGTAACAGCCTGAAGTTCAATGTCATCCATATGTGATCGATACGAGGAACCATTGTTATCACACGTCCCTATAACTGATATCACTAACTACAATACTAGTCTCCTTATCAGTGGCGGATCCGGATACAAGATGTTTAAAGAAATAAAAGAAATCAGGTTCGGCGGGTTTCCTGAAGCCCAAAGAAACCTCTGGATCCGCCACTGCTGATCTCAATGAGTCACACATATCATATATGTATTTAAGTACATTTGTAAAACAGTTCAATAACTTAATGTCCCCATACCACATGAGGCTAATGCACAACTTCTTAGTTGATTTTTAGTATTATCTTTTATGCTCAAAATATTACATCCAAGAACTTAACAAACATGACATGATCATTCAACAAGCAATCGTTGATCTTAATTCTGTTAGAATGACTTTGATATCAGACAATACCAGAGTCTGAAGCAGTTCTGAGTGTATAGACATATCGGGACTACAACTATATTTGTAAAAACAAATGTATATGTCATCAATATGTTGGATACAAGAAAGTGTGGACTTCTGTCCCATACATACAGGTATCATACCAGGTTTGATGTTGGAACCTCAATATAGACGTGATCGGCTGGATCGCATTCCTGTATCATACCCAGGTCGATTCTTTAAGCAATACCTCAACGTCAACCTTGAACAACTAGACCATATTTCGGCATTACAATAGGGGCTGGGACAATCAGTTTGCCTATTTTGATATTTAACATGTTCGGGTATAAATACTGGCGGACCTGCAAAAGTGTATGAAGGCCTTGCAAGGCTTTATCAAGATTCGCCTGAAAATAACATCAGATTACTAGGTATGATATTATTTCATTGACGAGTAACTATGACCCAACCGTTCCAACCGTTTGGATCGCGATAAATGATAGCAGCCTAGATTTAGGTTGTTGGCTAGGTCGACGTTTGTCATTTATCAATTTCAAATGTCTCCGTTATCTTCCATTGAGTGTAATAAACGTGGAATGAATAGACTTGTGTTTGTCGTAAAAAGCAATAGCATAACTGTCGTTAAGGATCTTAACTGTCGTTAAGGGTCTCGTGTGATAATAATAATAAAAAATAGAATATGCATGTTTCTGCAAACAACAGCCAATCGATGCCAAATCATATTTCTCAGAATATTTAAAGAAATCATATGTTTTCCCTGTTATTTATCAGCCAATCAGGTCCTGGATCCTTTTCCTGCTAGGATACATACTGAACAGCTGGAGTAGTGATAAATTATTTAAGAAAAAGTCTGCTTAAACGGACCACTGGAAAGAAATCAAGACCAAAAAAACTGAAACATCCTAGCTGCTACTGTTTGATTTCTGGGGGGGTTTCTAATAGTACAAGTTAGCTATATATTTGTGCATTAGTACATAAAACAAAAAATAAAAACTATCAAAAGAAGAAGAATAGTGTTGCTCACTGCGTATTTTTTAAATTTACTCGTGTATTGATGTATTTTCACTGGAACTATATTATCCTAGCAACCACGGCTATCGTAGTTACCATCGTATCACACTGCTCCGACTGTATTTCCTTTTTTCAGCATTTAAACCACTTCAGCTCTCATTTTTGTATTTCCTTTTCCTTAAGTGCATCCTCAGCTCCTAGTGCAGTCTTTACTTTTGTTGTGGTGTCCGTTGTCCTTTGGCTAGTCGCAAAACGGTAATATCAAAAACGGATTTAACGGAAGGTAACTGAATATTGTTTCTAACTGTAGTTTTACGAACGCACAGTAACCTCCCTTTGATTTAGATATACCTGAATATTGTTACTAACTGTAGTTTTACAAACGTACAGTAACCTCCCTTTGATTTAGATATAACTGAATATTGTTACTAACTGTAGTTTTACAAACGCACAGTTACCTCCCTTTGATTTAGATATAACTGTAGCGCGACTCAACCAGTGACTAACTATTGACTAAGTAGCTCTGTGATTGGAGCTACAGTTTCTGGATTGAGGGATGCATGGTTGGAATCTTATCTGCCCCGTTGCAGGTTTTTATCACCAGAACTCTGTTTATGACTCTTTTTTGGTTGTTTCATTTTGATTATTTCATTAATGTTCCGGAAGGTACGGTTTCCTTATCAGCAATGATTTATCGATGATATAGTCATGCCGAGAAAAAGATTTATTTGCGTGTCCCTTAAACTGCAATACTCTCAAAGCTCATATCCGTGGGCATTTCTTTAGCACATTGTGCTCGTTTTCGTCTGCTTTACTCAGTCAAACAATCTTAAATAAAGCAACTTAATTCAAACAACATCAAATTCTTAAAGCTTTAAACAAAGGCCTTTCGATCACTTTCAACAGGGCTTGTGAAAAGGGAGGTAACTTTTATTCTTTAGACGGCCGTAGATATTTTTAAAAGTGGGGAAATATTTTCTCATCAGCTTGATTTTCATTTCATTTGTTGCTAAGATAGTTGCATTGAGATTTTTAACACATCGTTATCATGATGATTGGGGGAGGGGATGAAACAAAGTTACTTCATAGTTGGATGTATAATGAATGTAATTATTTATTTACCACAAACACACAATGTCTTAAATGAGAAATCTTTTATTTCTCTTCCACTTCATCATGGTACTTGGCTTAGGTAAAAAATATGTATGTTCAAGGTAACATGACTGAAAATAGGGTAGGTTGGTCGGGATTTCTCTCTCTTTTGTTGTGAGGGGCTAATTTAAGCAATTACAAAAATCTCCAATCACATTTTTAAGTTTTGTTAAATAATAATATAGGATATAAAATTTGGTTTTGAAACCTGCCTATGAAGCAGAGAAGGTATACATATAGTTACCTTGTTTGTTCGTTCATCAATTATTTAGCATCCCATGGGCAAGTTATCACAGCACTGGATGGAGTGCATTCAAGTGCTACAAACTAGGGTTGGAGGTACAAACTAAAGTCAGTCGGGGTACCTAAAACATACGTTATCAAAAAGGAGAGAGGAAACTATATTGTAATAGATGAGACAATGATGTTAACAAAATCCGAAACACAAGTTAAAATAAGATACTCAATTTCGGCATCAATGCTTTCAGACAATATTTGATAGTAATCCGTTCAGTGAGAAGGGAGACAACCGCGTCTAAGCTGGAAGTGGTGGTGTGGGCTCCTCCTCTATAACTGAAACGAAATATTAATAGAAATACACGTATTGTTCTTATGTATTGTAGTAATATTGAAAGAGTCTAACATACAAGGGGTTTAATATTGGCTTTCTTAATTGATATATCCTTGTCACAGTCACCCCTGTATCTTTTATATATCCTTCACTTCGCACTACGAATTCTCATCGTTTTTTAATTAAGAAGATCATGTAGTATAGTCCAATAGTCCGCAAGTAGCACGTTAAGGAACAAAAGAGCAGAGGCATGCGATTCATCAGTTTGGTATGAAATTTAGTATATGCTAAGATTGTTTTGAACACAAACAGTATTTAGTTGACAGTTTGTTTTTCGATAACGTTCGTTTCCTTTGTCAGGAAAAGAATGCAAATGTACTGAAGCAAACAAGGATTTTTTAATTTGTTTTCGTACCCTTTCCAGAAAACGTAGTTATCATCGTAACGCGGATAAGTGTGGTCAGTTACATTCTGAATATAACGTAATTATATTGACATTTCAAAGTCACGCGATTCCTCTTGACGTTCATTAATAACCAATGTCATGACTTTTCAGAGCCAATTTAATAACTGACGTCATAGACTATATGCAGGCTTAGCATGGTGATGGAACGGATGTTCCATTGTCTAAAGAAACCAAAGTGTCTAGACTAGCAGGATTCCATTAGCACAGTTTGTGATGATTGAGTTTTTGGTTGTCAATATCTTTGATTATTTCGGTGGCAGAATTTAAAGCAGACTGTAGGCATTCCTAACAAATTCAAACTGTGCACCTCTTTTGGCAATTCGTTTAAGCTGATTTGTATGAGCTTGTAACCTAGCCAGGTCCTTCAATTTCACAATCAGCTGTATCGACGATGTGCTGTGTTTGAAATCAAGGACACTATAGACTTATCTACTTCAGCAACTTTCCTCGATCTTTTCAACAGGGACGCCTTATTGCTAAGCTGTATGATTAGCGGAACGATTCTGACTTTTGGATCGAGAACTTTCCCTCGCTTTAAAGTAACATCTCTGCCTCCGCTACATACGGTGTTTACAGTCGCAGTTAACTCGGTACTTAAGAGCTTACTCCGAATATTATAGCATCAGTATATCGCAGGAAACATGCGATTGTGTGATATGGAGGTCGATGTTTTGTAATATTTTTTTACAGTGTTGTGGTTTTGTTGTCACTACCCGAGTTTTCGATGTGAGGACTTTATATGACTTGGATTTAACTTCGATTTGCATTGCGGTTGACGTCGGTGAAGCAGAAGACGCTTACCCTTCCGGAACACCTGTGTTTGGCTTTTTAATCATCATGCTAAATTATCAACAGGTACTTCCACCTTGGTAATTATAAAGATCATTTTACGTCACAAGGTGGTTGACTTCGTCGCATGACTATCAGTCCCTGAGGAACGGCTTGACACGAAATACATGTTCCAAATAAGTATCTGTCTATCCAATATTTGTTTACTTTTAACGTTTAAAAGGGTATCACAGTAAATCATAACCAGTGATATTATAGTGTGACTATATTAATAGTTATTGACAGTTCGGACGTGAAAAGGTTGGGGTCACCTGCCCGATTACGTGGGTTTCCTTCGGCTACTCCGGTTTCCTCCCAAACTATGTCCCCCCACACGCTTATATCCGGGCCAACAAGAGTGATTAATATAAGTTGAAATAACTTGTTTCATAATTGTTGTAAAAAAAAAAAAGTTTATATTTAATAGTTATTGTATGTCTATTACTTACATTCACAAAGCATTTCGGAGTAGGACGTGTGAACGTTGTCAAGATCTTTGTGGTTCGACACTGCAAGCAGGTGTCGTTCTACTGGGTTGTCAAGGACATCAACAAGGTTTCCAAGGTCCAAATCGTCACCTATAGCAACAACAAATATTTCTATGCCCTCCGACCTGGCCTGAACAATTTCATCAATGATGTGATCAAGATCAGATGTACTCTCGTCTATGAAAAGGACAGCCATTTTCCGCGCGTTTTGCCGACCACCGTTTTTTTCTGTGTACCCCATATCCTTTACATCTTTTAAAATGTCTCTAGTTCCCCCAACTGTGACATTTTGTAGATCCGAAACAAAGTCTTCCTTTGCTTTAAATTCATTTAGATAGATATCCTTTTCATTGCATAGTCCTTGAAGCAATCCTGCTTGCAATGTACCATCTTCCATGTTACCAAAGTACCCAGTGACGTTGGCAATTAGCTTCCGCACATGCGCAGATCTGTACGCTCCCATAGCAGCTGATTCAAAGCCAAACATGACGTCGGTTGGACGCCTAGCGGCGCAGTATGGCAGAACCTTCTCGGGCGTTACTGTGAAAAATAGCATTGAAGTTAAATTTAACTGCTCAAAAGTACACGTAAAAATAAAAAGTGTCATTATTAAATTTCAAGATTAAAATATCACAATACAAGGTAACTTATCACTTTCCAATTGACTCCATTTCCAGGCGTTGTTACATTATTATTTCTGGTGATTCCTCTTTTTACATATGACTAGTTACCTTATGTTAGATAACATTCGATTTTGAAGCTCTCAAAAAGAACGGATATTACGATATTCAATGCTAAAATCATATATGATGCATAATTTATAACGGAACATAACGGTTGACAATAAAAGTGTTTCGTACTATACCATATTGGCTGAATGAGAGAATCGCAATGATTAATGACTTGCAACCAGCTACGAAGATTTTTAACTACCCAAAAAAGTAAAAGGGCTATTCAAGAAATTTAAAATAAACAGGATACCATCATTCAACATTTAATCATTTGATGTGTCAAAGTACCCCCGTACACTTATCGGTCAACACTTGATCAAAACAGGCACATTCTCAAATATGATATATTCATAGATTTTAGTTGTTGTTTGTTCCATACATTACCACAAGTGTCTTTCCCTTCTCAACTCCTTAGCATCTTATCTCTCAACTCTGTTCAAAATAATACCTGCATATCCTATTTGCTATCCGAAAGAAATAATAAGTTATTTTCCGATGGTGTCACAGAATGCATCCTTTTATTTTTCTGAACAAAAGTTTCTTGGAAACATTACAAACATTACAAACAAAAATACAAACCAAGAACGAAAAACAATGGTCTGCATTATTTTGTAAGTAAAAATGTAATTTTTAATGTTCAGAAAAGTGATAAAATGAACCTGGAAAAGTACACTTGTACGTATCACGAAAGAGGATATATATCAAGATCTAGCTTGATCAGAGTTCCGTAAAAACAATATACTGTACACTCACCTCGACATGCCTTGTACGCCAGTGCGTCTCGGATCTCGTTCAGAACTTCAAAACTAGCAACAGAGAAGACGAATTGATCGGATGGAGTGCTTCCGATGGATATGAGCTCACTCATTCTCGTCTTGGTACCTATCCCTATAGCGAACACGAAAACGCCGGACTTCTTCAGGAGTTCAGCCTGTGCAGCAGTCTTCTTGCTATTTCTGGAAACGCCATCTGTCATGACGACAGCTATTTTAGTGACGTTCTTTCGCGCATGCCTGAATACTGACGTGCGAAGCCTCTGGAGTGCATATCCGGTAAGGGTAGATCCATAGATGTGCGGAACACGTCCAATAGCTTGCTGGAGGTCCTTCGTGTTGTTATATCGGTTAAACCGTATGACACGGTAGAAACGGTCCGAGAAGACAGCCAGGCCGACCCTCATCGCCGTAGGGCCGATCGGAAAGTGTTGTACTATTTCCTTGATGAACTCTCGCTGCATACCGAAATGTTTCATCCAGATACTGGTAGAGCTGTCTACCAGAAAAAAAATGTCTGATGGGTCACCATCGCACCCTGAGAAGAATCAAAATCAACAGAATGAAATCTGAACTCAAAATCAATATTTCACAATAATATGATAGCTGTATTTAACAATTTAATGATATCTTTATTTAACAATTAAATGATATCTGTATTTAACAATTTAATGATATCTGTATTTAACAATTTAATGATATCTGTATTTAACCATTCAATAATATCAGTTTTTTACAATAATATGTTATCTTAATTTTACAACTAAAGGATATCTGTATTTTACAATTAAATGCTATATGGTTTTTTACAATCCAGAATCATCATCCCTCGATTTCAGAATATCTGTATTTTACATTTTTTACAACAATATCTTTTAAATATCTCATTTTAACTTATCAAAGAGCAGAAAAATACCCAACTTACAAATATATTTTTCTTTACTGTTGTCAGTGAATACGGCGCTGGCTCTGACGACCTATTAAACAAACACAGTATACTATTACATCCCTTATTAACAGGAACGTTCATTAAATAATTCATACTCGAATTAGAAATGTAAATCATCCTAATTTCTTCCATTTTAACGAAATAAATGCTAAATTAAAATATTCATGTTTTGAATTTTAAAGACTTACCGTTAAAAGGAGCACTAGATATCCTAACATACTGTGGCTGTAGGCTGTACAAGAGTGTTCACATAAAATGGACAAAGACATTATATATGTTTATCCATCAGAACACAATTACACGGCTAGTTACCTATCAGCAACTCCCTTTGTCACAATAATCCGTAAATTGTTGTTCCGCGAACCAGTAATTCCATATATATTCAGAATATATTGATCATTATGTTTGTATGCCGCGTGCATAGCAATTACATAGTCTGGATACTGAGTTGATTATGTAGAATGTCGAAACATTCTTTTCAACACTTTTTTCAAATCAAATAAATACAATCGCAAAATATTCCAAAAAGACTTGCTAACATTTGTAAATTTTGAAAATTTGGTTCAAATCTTTTCCAGATAAACTCATCGGAAAAGCTTGCTTGCCTTTGTCATGTGGCACCTGTCATGATGTCTCTGTAAACTATCTTAGGCTTCATAGTGATAGTAGTCACTCGTATACCGTCACGTGAAATTGTACTAGTTCATACTTGCATCAACATTGGAAAAATCCCTATTAAATCCCTACAATTTCAAATCACAATCATTGGTCTTTTTGCTTTCATAAATTTCTTGTAGTAATATGACGTAACATCGCAACGTCATTTCAGGGATCTCGAAATAAACTAACGTGAAAAAATCCCAAGATAGCTTCATTCGGCTTGAGCGACTATGTTAAGATAAACAAGGAAGAAACAGTGGTCTATCTTTGAATGGAGAGAGCTTTCAACAGCGTAACCTGGGGTAAGTGTAAACTCGAAGGATGATGATTCGGGAGCGCGGAAAGGCTATTGTTGACATTCAGTTTGACAAAGCTATGTTTATTATGATGATGATGATGATGATGATGATGATGATGAGAAGTGTCAGATTCGTCACATTTTTCATTTCGTAGATAGATCATTCGTGGATACATAATATGAAAGAACTTTCATTTGTATGTCATGGGGCGAAATTCCGGCCCCGCAGTCCTCGGGGTTTGGTTGTTAGTAGTCTTGACCTATCTATTGCGAAGTAGGCCTAGTGTTCACATGCCGCGTGGAGTATACAGTTGAAATTCTTGAATATTTGAAAGTAAATTCACCTCTGCTCAGAATTTCCAATATTTGGACCATCCAAATTAATTACCTATTACGTCCTTATTTTGATATGCAATTCATATGAGATCTCGAAGTACATTGTCACATTGAGTTTTGTCAGAATGATATCCTCGATTCGTCAGAGGATAGAAGGTGACACAGATGTTAAAATGATGTCGTGTACAGAAATTTAAAGCTAAATTATTTTACTTCTAAAACTAATTAAAATAAACAATATGACAAAGTTACAATACAAAATAATGACATCAAACAGCAGATCTAGCAACGTTTTTGGCGATGAGTTTAGTTTATGGAACTGGAGACAGCTTGAACGACAATGCATTATTGAAAAATGGGGGTTTGGAAAATCTTTAAAGAAGTCCGATGAAAAAAATACTTACATGAGTGCCAAATCAAGTTTGGAAAATATAAGGATTTCCTTATATAACTTTTTACCAAAAAGAAGAAATATCATTTGAATAAAACTAGGGCAAAACAGGAACAGAAAATACAAATTTACAGGTGGACTCGAATAAGATTCCAGGAGAAGAAGACCAAGTATTTCCGGGAAAAAGTAGGAGTTTCCTGCTTCATCGACGACCACCGCCTTATAAATCTACGTCACATCCGGGTAACGTTACGTTCTAGAAGCCTTGAATCAATACCATTAGGGTACAGTACCACGTAGACATGGAGTAATTAGCCGTAAATAATAGCTTTATCCAAATGTTATGTAAGTATTAGTTCAACAGTGTAGTAGGCAATGACATACTACCTTTGTTCTGTTTCCACAACATGACTATATCAAAATCGCAATTACGTCATTATTTGCTCTGTTGCAGTGTGATATTTATAAAGATTATTTAATTACAGAGTTAAAAGCGCCGAATAAGCATAGAATTAAGAGGCAGATATATTCTACTGATTATTAGCTAAAATTAGCATAAATTATTCCATGTGTTTCAACATCTGGGATATTTTATTTTTTTTGGCCGGATTTCTTTGTATTGGAATTATGCCATTCCTGACAAAATAATGTATAGTTGATATTGATTTCAAGGAATTTGATTTCACAATGTTTTCTAGTGCATAGAATACACAAATTTAAGTACATGTACTTCGAATGATATAAAACTATACGAATGATATAAAACTATACTAGGATTTTGATACCTATATACTTAGACTGAAGACTAAATTTGAATGCTTTTGTCCAGAGGTATATGTTTCCCGATCATTTAATTGAAATGAAGATTTTAATACATAATGGACTTTTAAATCATTAATACGTATCCATAAAGCATATTTTACGGATTGTGTGGTAAACGAAATGAAAAACTCGCAAATTCATTTCGGATTCAAACTCGAGCACGGATTCTGTGCTCAAGCCAGCTTTCTTGTAACTCACCTAAATCATGTCAACGATCAAAAAGTCAAATTTAAATATTGAAAACAGTATTCGGCTTCAAGTTTCTTCAATTTTTGTCCAAAACTTTAACAAAATAAGTTTTTTTAAATTATTTATAACTGAAACAAGAAATTAGACTTGAGCACAAAATTAGTGCTGGAGCATGAGTACGGTTTGCATAATTTGGGTGGGGGGAACATTACCGTCACTGTGTTTTTGAACGAGATATTTCCGAGCACTGTGATTTGACAGATGTTTTTCAGTTTCGATTCTTGACAACTTGATCATTCTTTGCATCATGGTGCACAATTTATTGACTCCTACTGGGTGTATCTTGAACCAAATTGGAATATTAGGTGATGCTATTTGTTTGGTTGCTGCGTAAAAAGGATCAGATGTTGCACCGTAGCCAGTCGGGCGTTTTTCACGGTAAAGTTTATAAATTGGCACAGGGCACCTGTCAGGGTTTTTCAAATTTGCCCACAGTTTCGGTTTAACAGCTCTAATATCGACGGTTTGGCGTTTAGTAAATTCCAGAAATTCGTTCCCCTCCCCATCTTTTCTCAGAGTTACGTCACCCCAACACATCTCCCTATGTTCTGCCGAGCCCCGGAGACCAAGATGAACGGTATTATAAAACCGCAAAGTCTGCAGTAAGCTGTCGTGTGTGTTTGAACCTAGTTGACCAGAATTCCACAGCATGTCTATTTCATTGTCATTTATTGGATCACTTCTGTGTGCTAAATTGCCTTTTCCGTCGCGTTTCAACTGACGGGTGTAATTGCCGATCAACACTTGACATCATCCCCCGTCAACTGGTTGGTTCATATTCAGAACCATCTGTTTTCCTGATACCAATGAAACATCTACACAGCAAAGGACACAGTTCAACTACTGGGATATCGTGGATTTGTCTACTTTCATTGACTTCGGGCAACTTGAAAAATTGATACAAAAGTTTCACATCGTAGAATGTTTTGCTTAGAGTGTTTTTGTTAAATTGGTTGAGGATGCAATTTCCCACTTCATCTTCATTTACGGTAACACATCTGTTTGTTTTGAGATTGTCAGTCCCAGGCCCAGCATCCAAGTTTGCCGTCTGCTCCGGTCGCTGTTATGACCGGGCCTGTGTAGCAGTGACCTTCTCAATACGATCTCGTTCAAGTTCAACTTTAAAATAAATTCCAGAAACTTCTACACTATACAATGTTGCAAAACCTCTTGGAACAATATTCTTTACAGTACCTGTTCCTTTGTTGTCAATTGTAACCGGCTCGTCAATGTTTATCTGCTCAGCCATTTTTTTACTACGGTGTAGTAAATAAAAGTAGGGCCTGTAGTGGTGTAGGAATATGTTCCCACGGTTTTGACCAATCACAGCACCTTTAGGTTTTACTTCACGTGTGTAATACCATATTTATGACATGGCCGTAGGACATAGTAAAATGGGCCAGTTATGTGATAAGTGTCGTTATTGCCTAAATAACCTATACAAGTGTCGTTATTGCCTACATAACCTATACAAGTGTCGTGATTGCCTACATAACCTATACAAGTGTCGTTATTGCCTACATAACCTATGCAAGTGCCGTTATTGCCTACATAACCTATATAAGTGCCGTTATTGCCTACATAACCTATACAAGTGTCGTTATTGCCTACATAACCTATACAAGTGTCGTTATTGCCTACATAACCTATAAAAGTGTCGTTATTGCCTACATAACCTATACAAGTGTCGTTATTGCCTTCATAACCTATACAAGTGTCGTTATTACCTACATAACCTATATAAGTGTCGTTGTTGCCTACATAACCTATACAAGTGTCGTGATTGCCTACATAACCTATACAAATGTCGTTATTACCTACATAACCTATAAAAGTGTCGTTATTGCCTCCATAACCTATACATGTGTCGTTATTGCCTACATAACCTATATAAGTCACGTTATTGCCTACATAACCTATACCAATGTCGTTATTGCCTACATAACCTATGAAAGTGTCGTTATTGCCTACATAACCGATACAAGTCTCGTTATTGCCTACATAACCTATACATGTGTCGTTATCACCTACATAACCTATATAAGTGACGTTATTGCCTACATAAACTATACAAGTGTCGTTATTGCCTACATCACCTATACAAGTGTCGTTATTGCCTACATTACCTATACAAATGTCGTTATTGCCTACATAACCTATGAAAGTGTCGTTATTGCCTACATAACAGATACAAGTGTCGTTATTGCCTACATAACTTATAAAAGTGTCGTTATTGCCTACATAACCGATACCAGTGTCGTTATTGCCTACATAACCTATGCAAGTGCCGTTATTGCCGACATAACCTATACCAGTGTCGTTATTACCTACATAACCTATAAAAGTGTCGTGATTGCCTACATAACCTATAAAAGTGACGTTATTGCCTACATAACCAATACAAGTGTCGTTATTTCCTACATAACCTATACAAGTGTCGTAATTGCCTACATAACCTATACAAGTGACGTTATTGCCTACATAACCAATACAAGTGTCGTTATTTCCTACATAACCTATACAAGTGTCGTAATTGCCTACACAACCTATACACGTGTCGTTATTGCCTACATAACCTAAACCAGTGTCGTTATTGCCTACATAACCGATACAAGTGCCGTTATTGCCTACATAGCCTATAAAAGTGTCGTTATTGCCTACATAGCCTATACAAGTGTCGTTATTGCCTACATCACCTATACAAGTGTCGGTATTGCCTACATAACCTATACAAGTGTCGTTATTGCCTACATAACCTATACATGTGTCGTTATTACCTACATAACCTATATAAGTGACGTTATTGCCTACATAACCTATACAAGTGTCGTTATTACCTACATAACCTATACAAGTGTCGTTATTGCCTACATCACCTATACAAGTGTCGTTATTGCCTACATAACCGATACAAGTGTCGTTATTGCCTACATAACCTTAATTGAATAAACATTGGAAATTCTGTCCTATACAAATGTCTGTATTACCTATATACATAATATAGCCTATATAGTGTCGTTATTATTGATATGTATTGTTTTACAGATGTTATCTCGTTAACGGATATTATGATTAAGTCACATATTGTTTGAGGCATGAAAAAATGATTAAATGTGTATTGTCGACCTATCAGATAGCCGAGGTTGTCGATCGTGAGACTGACACATCATGCTGTCAAACATGCCCTGCATGCAACTGTCACCACGTGACCCCTGTCCAACGCGCGTGCAAGCAAAAGTGACAGACAGCTGCCACCGAATGGCGGACTCTCTCAGCGGCTTAGTCACGATCTTTACAAAAGGTTTATTCCAGACATGGAATTTCGCAAATGTCTAATTATATCGCTTGTTGTTTTTTTGACTGTAGGAACACAGCAGTAATTCACAAATACTTTACATTTCGTTTTCCCCAAGTATGCTTTACGTATTATCAATACAATGTTTCTCTTTACCTACCTAGACCTTTATATCCTTAATTAATTAAACTCCATTTTAGATTGATCTAAGTATGTAACATTTGCTGAAAGGGAATTTCTTATTATACCATTGATATATATAATTTCCAAGTTTAAATCAAGAACGCCTACTTTTAAGTTTCTGAGAGATAAAGGAACCCAAATTAAATATTTTGTAACAGAATGAATTGTAAATACGAAAACGTTTAAAGCAAACATGAATGAAATAACAAAAACAAACAATTCAGCCGTAAAAAAGACAAATAACGTTTTTTAATTCATGAATTAAAAAGATATGGACATTTCACTAGAATTATGTACAGAAATACGATTTTCAGTATTCAACGTATTTCTTTTACTTACATGTGCACATTTAAGTGGTATTATATGGATCCTTCTTTTGAAACCAGGTATCGGAGGTAAGGATAATTGCTGTGTTTTACGGCCATCGACAGTCATTTAGGGCCAAACCCTATACATACATTATCACAAAATGATCGCGGTTTCTCGTCCACCTCTCAATGCTTCATAGCTGTGTTCATGTAAATCTCGTACAATCTCGTCGACCATGATACCATACTGTATTTTTGTACCGATTAATTCAATGTAATTAATCATGTATGTAGCCGTATCAGACAAGTTTTTCATTGGTCACTATAGCACTTTGCCAATTAACGTTTGGTCACAAGATTCAACTATATGTTTGCTTTCAGTTTTTAAAATGGTTGTTGTTAACCTGAAATAAGGTCAATATATACTTTGATTATTACTTGTTGAGTTCTTTCAGTTAACATATAGATCAGAGAAAAGCATCAAGAGACAAGATTAAGAATTATGTTTTATTTATACTGAAAAGTGTAGGCTATGTGGCCGTCCTATAAACACATACGTTATGTGGCGTCAAAGGACGATAGCTTAGTTAATTGAATAAACATTGGAAATTCTGTCATACATTCCTTCATTTCTTTCTCTCACTGCTAGAATGCATTCTGCTAGTAAAAATGCAAACAGATATTGAAATTAGACATCAACTGTCGATCCGGTTTTCGTCTATGGTGTTCTTCCCTGATACCCTCTACATCAAAACCATCCCGTTCTCTGTACAGTTTTCTGTACTGATGAATTACTACTGAGCAGGTGAACTTAGTATACTCAGCATTGTTAAATCATAATGCGACTATAGTTATCTCACGAAATAGTCCAGCTGTTCTCTCCCTGTAAATTCATGTCCCTCCCATTCACATTCTACATAAATATACCCACAACTAGCCTTACCGCATACCTACGCTGTTGGTATGGCCAAAATCATGTTCTGCACATATTTTATTAATAATGAATATTTAAGTGAAAGACGTATTTTAAGTATATGCCTTCATTTATTTCGGAAGCCTGCTGTTTCATACACAAAAACGCGTTTGGTTACAGCAAAAACCGCCCGGATGTCCCGCCTGTCGGGGCTGTCGTAGATGTATTACGGAGGAATGTCGCTATAGGTGGCTTATGTGCATTGCCTGCATTCTGTGTTATTGTCGGTATCTTGAAGGCGCTTGCTGCGATCCTTGACATCATTACTGAGTACTTAGATGCATATTTCCGAATGCGTCGAGGCCTCATCTGAATCAACTTTCTCCGTGGACGCACGTCATAACATTGTTGACCCTGAAGGTTTTGCCATATTTGAGCATGTGATGATTAAATGAGTAAACAAACACGTACATTTGCATACCTTGTAACTCAAAATACGCCCCTTGTTTCCGGTTGTGGCATACACGTGTAGTCATCAATGGGTATTTAAGTCCCGTGCAATCTTTAGATGTCAACCAACCTGCAAAGACTCTTGGAGAAATAATACTTCGCCTAAAACTTAAAGTGAAAATACATTAATATATACCGTAGATAATACAAAGCAAAGACTCAACATGACAAACGCACTTCTATTGTCAGCAATGGTAAGTATACAAATTCTTTTGAAAGTATACAACTATAAGTTTTTCTAACATCGTCCAATTTATTGATTTAATTTATACAATGGACTTGTCAAATCAAACTCCTTATCTAAGTATTGTTATTTGTATTTCAGATGTTTGCAGTGGTATTAGCTGCTCCAACGCAACTAAAAAAATCCAAAGAAGACGTTTTTATTTGTAAGTACTCGTGTTGCTAAACGAACCATTTTCATTATTGTTGATCATTGAAAAAGATTTCTGATGATGTTGTGTCATGTTAGCATTGTCTAAACGTGTTATATCATTATAGTATTATCTTAACATGTGATATCATGTTAGAATTGTCTTATGATGTCCTATCATATTAGTATTGTCTTACAATTTCATATAGGAGTATTGTCTTAATATGTTATACGAAGTATTACATAAAGTGATGTATATATTAGTGTTTAAGTTTTCATACTGTAATTGGAAAACTAACAGATTGTGTTTGCTTTATTGAACGATGAACAAAGTTTACTGCAAGATCTAGAGAAACATATTATAATGACAAAGGGTTGACTGAAATACTTACAAGCACACTCTGTTATGACAAAGGATTGATTATGTTTTACAGTATGTGACGGAAGTCCTGCAGACATCTTCTTCCTACTCGATAGTTCCTCCAGTATCTGGATAGAAGACTATAAAAAGCAACTTAAATTCATCCAACAAATCGTCGACTACTTCCCGGTGTCAGCGACAGAAACCCGATTCGGAGTGGGCGTGTTTGCTGACCATTACAGACAAGAGATCGGTTTCGGTGATTTTGACAACTCTTTTGATCTTAAAACTGCCATAGGTGGAATTAGAAAAAGACTAGGAGGTACCCAGACAGGCCGGGCGCTTAGAAAAGTCAGACAACAAGCCTTCAGTCAAGCTAGACCGGACGTTGGACACGTGTTAGTGGTATTGACTGATGGCGTTTCAAGGAATACGGAAGAGACAAAGAGGGCTGCCGCCTCTTTGAAGGCACAGGGGATCCATGTGTTTGCTATTGGGATCGGAATGAAATCGGACATGACAGAGCTGAAGTATATCGGCAGTGAACCCAAGGAGACCTACGTACACAATGTCACAGACTTCAACGTCTTGAATAAAATACGTGAAAAGCTGGCCTTCCAAGTTTGTAAAGGTGAGAGATTTTCTTAAGAATATTGTTACTATTCTTAAAGGTAAATTTTGAATGATTTGATTTAAACATTTGATTTCGTGCAAATGTATTGTTAATTAATTATCTTTCGTGAAATATACTGCCAATCGCAAATTCAACAGCTTACGATTAATTTATACTTGCTGAGATAAACATTTTTTTTATATAAAATGCCCACCTCTTTATCCACTTGTCAGTACCTACTTTGTCGAATTGTTTTAGTTGTGTTTTATTAAATATTTAACTCAATTTTCATTATTTACATATCCTTTCCTGTATTTTTAACTAATTAAAAATCCTTTTTATTGAAGCACCAAAACACGAGCCATACTGCAGCGCTGGGATGAAAACCGACGTCATGTTCGCCTACGATGCCTCGAGTATGGGGACAAAAAATGCTAGGCGTATACAGGACTTTATCGGAGACACTATCCAGAACTTCGCCAACATGGACGACGGAACGATACAAACTGGCATACTGTCGGGACAGTGTGACAGAGACAACGTCGATCTGAACGTGTTCAGCGATAAAGACTCAATGGCTTCTTTCGTCAGAAACAGCGACTTCCGAGGGGTCGACGAGATTGTACGAGATTTACACGAACACAGCTATGAAGCATTGAGAGGTGGACGAGAAACCGCGAGACGGATGTCTGTTGTCATTGTAGATGAAAACGTCGAAAAAATCAAACGTTTGGAGACGGAGATGAAAATCGCTAAGTCAAGGAAAGACATTCAGTTTGTGGTAATCACTATTGGTGACAGCTCCGTATTTGATTCCCTGAAACCTCTCGTTACGGAACCAGTGGACTCTTACTTCTTCAACGTCCCGTCTCATAGCGACATAGACACCATCAAAGACCAGTTCGTAGATAGTTTATGTCAAGGTAAGCTATTCACCAACGGTCATTGCTCTGGTTTAGTTATAATATGGTTTTGTTGACACTTGGGTACTCTCTTGACTTTGCATTCAATAACCAAGTGTTTATGTAGACTATGGAACTGATATTCAGGAAGATACAAATAGTATACAACTATTTTTATTTTGTATAATGAAAGGGTACATGTGTAGATTTTGTAAAGATTTAGTAGTATGCATTTTGCCTAGGTTAATTGACAGGCAGTTTGAATAAAGTGGTTTGTATTTTATATAACATAAGTGGTATAATACATTTAGTTGTAGCTAAGAGTATGTATTTTGCGGTGGGAATATAAATATGTTTTAAAAACGTTTTCGTTTTCCGTCGTTAATGCTCTTACTATAATTATCTCTTTTTTTTCAGGTTTCAAAGTTCCCGCCCCGAAAGGACCGAATAAGATATACTACGACAATTTCGATGACATTGTCCCTATAAGCAACCTGGTCATTGAATCCTAGAACTGTGCTTTCCATCGATAACATACCTTATAACAATCATTACAAGAACATTTTGAAGACGAACTTTACATTTCCGGATGTTTATTTATCGACCAAAAGAGAGACATTTTGTAATATATTCTCGCCTGTCCATATTTGATTTTTACGTGCTTTTTATTCCAATTGTGAAATGGGGAGATATGCCAAAGAGAGAGACACACACACAAGATACAGAGAGTCACGCTGAGGGACATAGAGCGAGAGACAAACAGAGAGAGAGAGAGAGAGAGAGAGAGAGAGAGAGAGAGANTAGAGAGAGACAGCGACAGAGAGAGTCTGTGACAGAGAGAAACAGACAGAAAGTTAGAGAGAGAAAGAAAAACACACACAAAAAACACACACACAGACATACAAAAAATAGATAACTATATAAAGAGAAAGACTTCACTAAACTATTTGTGTTTTTGTTGAAAGCTTGTACCAAATATGATATTTTATTGTTTTGTGATTTGGCCTTTTTGCCTTTTTGTACATTTGTTATATTTTTACTTTGGTTTTCTTGCTTTGCTAACAAGAGACAATGTTATTTAATAAAATGTATCATCAAACTTAACTTATGCCTTGATATTTTTAATGTTTTGAATATAACGAAATAAACCTATCGTTGTTAATAACAACTACAATAAAATCTCAATTAGTCAGTCACGGAGGAAACAATAGACAGGAGACGTGTTGGTCAAAGCACTATGGTTTTCGTAAAGGCTTAAAATTAACATTGATAACGGCATAATTGCCAAAATCCAATACGAAAAGGAAATGAAAGTCACGTGCTAGGACCAGAGGAACCAAGAGGACATAAAACAAAAGTCATAGCACAATAAGAGACGTATATTACAATATCCGTCTATGGCACAATGAAATCCTTTATAACATATAGACGAAACCAAGAGAAAATCACTTTCATCTTTTGAATAAGAAAGATGTCAATTAACCAACTATCCATATTATCGAAAACCGACTGTTAATCAAATTGATATAATTTCAACATGAGCGAGGCGAACAAAATCGTTAGTGCTTTAACGTTTTATCTTTGTTTATTATACATTTGTATGTCATGCTTTTATAGATTGCGATCAGTAGACGTTACAACATTAAAATGTTATCTCTTGTGAAATAAAATTACACTTCGTCATTGATAATTAACATGATTCAAATCATCATATCGGGATAAAGTTTATGAAGTTTAATTTTTTTTAGTTACTTTTTAGCTTGTAGTAAATTGGCAACAGTGTGCCATCCTTGATATTATTGGGGCCCCGCTTTCTTACGTTCTCTGCACCCCTTGAAATTGTCATGTCAAAATCATGAAAACATCTTCACTAACCTGATACCCATTCCCTCGAAGTTTGAGAGGAGAGGACAGGATTTAAAGCAAGTCAATTGTATCGTTACGCTGCCTCGCTCATGTTTTTGATGAATACTGTACACCAAAGGATCAATCTAGTTTTACGTGGTGTGTATCGACCTTTCGATTTTGTCATGACATATTCAAGGGGAGTAGAGGACGTTAGTCGAGGATGCATTGTTGTCGATAAATATGTTAGTACAATGTAATAGACTTGATTCTTATTTACGCAAACAATGAATGTTAAAATGTAGGCAACATTCGTTTTTCGGTCAGCATTATGGCTAAGTCATATACATACAGTCAGCAAAAAGGTGAACATTGCTCAAATACACATAGCGGAATATTTACCGTCAGTCGTAATTAAAACAATGTCACTGCCAGTGGGCTCTGAATCTCATCAACTGGATCGTTGCTACATGTCATAGCATGTACAATGCATACGGGTTTTGTTTTTGTGCGTGTTTTTTCCAATACATTCTCTACTCAAGTATCCACATACAACTGACAAAAACTATAACTACGCATCGGAAACTTATTATTCCGGCATGACTATAGCTTTGATAAATTATTTTTGGAGATAAACCCATACATTGCGGTACTTTAACAGAATATAATTGAAAATATTAAGGGGGGAGTAAAACTTCAGCGGGGTTAGATTTTAACTAGAACCCTAGACTTTGTTCTAACCGATTGCGTTACCTGGTCAACAGACCTGTCCTGGCCGATCTATGCTACAGTGATATTCAGAGGAAATTAAGGGAGGGGGGTTACTCTCTACTGTGTACAAAAACACTTAATTAGTCGTTATCATAAAACGTTAGTCTAGAAATGAATACACTCTAACATGTGTTTGATGTCATGGTGATGTAACTTTAGTGGATAAGGTGTTAAATTGATATTAGCATACATGTAGTGGATTTTGACTCATTTTTACTATTAAGATGATTACGTACGTAAGTCACATTGTATCTTTTTTGAAAATTATTATGCTGTAAATAAAATAAACGGATGAACTCAGAAGTACAAGTTTGTACGTGACCGAGGGTTAACGACAAATGAATCGCACGTTAAAGCTTGTTGTGAGGCGGATTCTCGTTTGTTTCTTTGGTAATATCATAATAGTTCTGGTCTAACTAGAACAGCTGCATGTTCAATGATAATGGTACCTATTGTGTTCATTAGAGTGCCTAGTCCTTTTGTTGTCACTACCCGAAGTCTCGTTTTGAGGATGTGCCATTACTTGGATATGACCTAGATTTACATGGCGGATATTGTCGATGAAACAGAATACTTTTTCTTTTTCTTTTTGCTAGGATCTCCATATAAATATTTTTTATTTACATTTTACCCCAGTTCTAATGGTTTTTGTTTACATTTTACCCCAGTTCTAATGGTTTAAGAGTTCGAATTCCGGTTATGTTGACTCATCAATATTCCTTTTCCTTGAGTTCGGTCAATTTGAGTGTCTGGACTTCCCTAGAGCAATTGTGCTACGGATATAAAATAACACGTGTAAAATTCTGGTGAAAACTTAATTGTAATAATAAAAAAGCAAGACATATGGAATAGGCATTAGATTATTCGAATGTGTAAGCGTTTTTTGCTCAACACATCATGACATCACCTCACCTCAAAATCTCAATGTACGAGGAAGTGTAAAGCAGATCAGAATTAAAGAACAGTGACTATGATAATTATAAGAACCAATCAATAACTTCTAACAACGTGAAAAGTTATGCGCCCTGAAAATGTTAGCATTAAATATGGTTGATGTCATACTCCGAAGTTAATACTAAAATCTTACACACTTTGCGAAGTATTAAGAATTAACACTGCAATATATATCAGTACATCTCAGCAAACAAGGTTTACATAGAAACATACGAGCCATAGAAAAGTCACAGACCAGTAAAACAAATTCACCGGTATAACTGTATAGTTTTAAATACATATTCTAGTGGCGCAACTTCCAGAATTTGAATGTAAAACAATGAAAGATCGAATTTGACATATACCTCCTTTATTTACAAAAAATAATAGAAAATTTCAAAATCTTACGAACACAATTTCCGTCTTACGTTATCTTTGTTGGTAGCAAAGTACAGTAGAAATGGCCTGATCCGTAAAATAAAGGGTATGTCTCAGATAAACATGGATAGTGGATTCATTCTGCACAACACACCTACACATATATATATATTTATAAACTACATTTTGAATACAAATTTTTTAGAAGAATAAAAGTTTTTTCAAAAAGTGTTTTCCCCAGATTTCGGACTTGTGAAAACCACGGTTACCACATCAAAAAACACCACAAAATGCAAAATAACTATACAAAATGCAAAACAAAACATGATTTTTAACCCAAAATTTGACCCTCGTAATTTTTTTTTCTCAAAACCTGTCTTGAATTAAATATCGCCTACTCGGTAACAAAAATACTCACGTTTTAGCATAGGTCGTTCAGCTGGATTTTTCACAATATTTACACATGTGCTGAGTACAAAAAAAGACTACATGAAAAGCTAGCTTTTGTTGTGTGGACGCAGATTTATAAATGGCCAAAATTGTAGTCCCAAGCCAAATTCGATATTTTTTTAAATGTGAAGCCCACATAGTCCACTTCATCATGTATATGCTAATTTTAGTGCTGATTTTTTTACATGTAATATTACAGGGGTTATTCATTGTACAAAAAAATCACACATGACCACCGTACGCTACTGTACACTGCTACATGTACCTTTCCCATATTTTAACTTGACGTAGATAATGGAATCTTTCGCAAAGACCGATTGTCTGTTTCTATATAACATTTCATTGTCATTAGGAATAATCGACATTATGTGAAGGTGCGACCATTTCAACATATACAACAAGCATTGCATTGATAATTTTGGAGAATTAATGCCTTTGTCAAGTCATTGACATTGGGGTGCCTACGTGAACATTAGTTTCTAAACAATAGTTAAATCAAATTTCAAGAAATCTCATAATCTTTAAAACATAAATCTCTATAACAACTTCACGCTCCAGGAGGACTATATTTACTGCTTTTTCTACATTACTGATTCCAATAAACCCGCGCAATGTTTCTTATTGAATCGCTCGATCAGTATGGCTCGATCTTGAGACAAGAAAGGAAAATCTATTAAAAGTATTCCGCTCCAGATACATAATATATAGATTTATAAACTCTCAAATTAAAGACCATTCAAACTTTATTTTCTCATTGATTACGTAGTTGTGCATGCTTATTAAATAATTTTTGATATTTAGTTATTTATTTTGTATAAATACATTTAATATTTGTCCTTTATATGTTTTTCTCAATGACGTGATCGTGGTTAGTATGATTTACCCGCGATATTGTACTATTTGTACCACGGTACTAATATTTATCTTTTGCTTTGAAGTATAGAAAATCATCAAAACAAATACCAATAAATAAATAGATGTGAAGAATATTGAATGTTTTCACTTCCAAAATTTGATATGAAAATCGCTCCATAAAACCTTAAAAGAAAAGCTAAAACCTTTCATATTTCTCTCGTTTTCACAAATGACTGTCTACTTTAAAATGTATAGGGTGACACCCATTTCACAAGAATGCCTATTACTGACCTTGGACACTTCATACAAGTAAACCTATTGTTTAACAGATGCTGTCGATGCAAGTTTGTACGTTATATAGTAAACATGACGATTTGATAAAACAATTTAAACAAGTGAACATGTGGCGGAGAAGAAAGTCCGGTCTCACGGTGTTCTAAGTGGTTATTCATACATTTAACCATTAAAATTATGTAATTTTCCATGATGTTTAAGATACTAGATGTTTGTGGTACAATATGACCCCGTGTGGTTCCGGTGGTGTGCCGTGACGTCATCAGTATCAGTGTATAAAGGCACACAGAAAATATTAGTTAATGACAATCTGACAGTTCTGGAGGAATACACAGTCTGAGCTCCCGATACCAGACAGTTTCATCATGATTACTATTGTAATTGTTGTGACCATGGTGAGTAAAACAATTAATTAAAAAATTTGAATTGAAATCAATTATACTAAAATTTATTTGGTAAAATATCATCAAAATAACATTTTGAACTAAGGGCATTCACATTGTAATGCGTTTGTTATTTTTTCAGGCCATCTCCAGTCTCGCAGTACCAGCCCCGTCCACTGCCAACCAGGATACCTACACATGTAAGTTCCAATATCCTCTCTCAGATGATAGGTAATGCTTTAAAATAATAACATTAAATAATTAAATGCTGAAGCTTTTTATTATAAAAATTGTCCATTTTGGTTTGGCTTCTTTGTGTTAACATGCCTATTTCGTGAACCCGATGGTATTGAGTATGTTAATGTGGACAAGTGGTGAGAAATAATTCACACAAATATAAATTACGGATGATTCCTTATACGTAAATCACAATATTATCGCATGTTGAATACTATAGATATTGTAAATGTTCAACTAATTTTGTTCCAGTGTGTAAAGGAAAACCTGCCGACATTTTCTTCTTACTCGATAGTTCCACGAGTATCTGGGCCAAACACTTCAAAAGCCAGCTGAAATTCTTACAACATGTGGTCGACTTCTTCCCGGTGTCAGCCTCTGAGACACGATTTGGCGTGGGGATATTTGCCGATCACTATTATCAGCAGATCGAACTGGGTGAATTCGATGACGTGGAGGAGCTTAAACTTGCCATGGGGAGTATACGTAAACGGTTTGGAGGGACTGAAACAGGAAAGGCTTTACGAGCTGTAAGGCATCAGGCATTCCGGAACGCTAGACCAAACGTCGGTAAAATCTTAGTGGTCATGACGGACGGAGAGTCTAGAAACAAAGTCCAAACAAAATACGAAGCTGCGGCTCTGAAAAATGAAGGTGTCACAGTCTTTGCCATTGGAATCGGAAAAGCAGTGAAGATGGAGGAGTTGGTTGCCATTGGCAGTGAGCCATCAGAAACGTACGTCTATACCGTGTCCAACTTCAAAGTTTTGAATGAAATCCGCAAAACATTAGCCTACAAAGTTTGTAGAGGTAAGATATCCAAATTATCATAAAAGATTAATTTCTTTAAACAATCGGTGCCTTACATTTAAGCATGTTAACACATCATCATTTAATTGAACTTTGGTTAACCTCCCAATGATTTTTTTCACGTTTTTTCAAAGACATCACAAAAAAAGATGAAGTCGTAAACTGCAATGTTTGGCGCGGTATTTATGATTGGTTGCAGTTACTCGGCAATGAAATCACAGCGCAGTGTTGTGTTTTGTGCGAAAAAATTATACAAAAAATAGAGGAAACATACAATTTTTAACTTTGAAGTAAAATGAGTTTTCTGCATTTTTAAATTAAATTATAAGGAATAGCCATGTTTTTTTGGGGGATACTGCGGTATATACTAACAAAACACTGCGCTGTTATATTTATAAAACTTTCATTATTTTATTCTTTAAATAACGTTGACGAACATTCAACATTTAATAAAGTTATTTGGTAATTTCAATTACAGGGGAAGAAATAAACCAAGAACCATACTGTAGCGCAGGAATGGAGACGGACCTGATGTTTGCCTTTGATGCCACAAGTATGGGAACACGGAGCGCTAAACACGTACAGAATTTGATCGCCGATACAGTGGAGAACTTTGGAAACATGGACAGTGGTGTTCTCCGCGCGGGATTGTTAACTAGATACTGTGATAATGATGATATATATCTTGATGATTATCCCAACCTCGATGAGATGGTCCCTGTTGTGAAAAACCCCCAATTTAGAGGACTTGACCAAATGGTTTGGCAGATGCAAAATCAAAGCTTTGAAGCGTCTAATGGTGGCAGGGAAACGGCGAGGCGGATCGCGGTTGTAGTTGTTGACAGTAACGTGGAGAAGTTGGAGAAGTTAGCCCTTGAAATGAGGAAGGCTAAATCAAAGAAAGACATTCAATTCATAATAGTCTCAATTGGAGAAAACCCGAAGTTTGAAGCGCTGAAAAGGTCCGTGCTGCGTCCAGTCGACGCTCACTTCTTCAATGTGGCTTCTCACAGTGATCTCAGCTTGATAAAGGACACCTTTGTCAGCAGCTTGTGTAAAAGTAAGTCCAGTGTTTGTTTCTGATGTTGTTTTGTACGAAGAAGTAGTTATGGTGATATTTGGCAATTTAAATCATAAACTAACCATCTCAAACCAGTTATTAAATTGTACATCATACCGACACAAAGCAGGATCATAGTGACGGCACGGCATAATGACCTGTCTTTAGGGGTTGTTAGTCTTTATCCTTAAAAAGTTTCGAAACCAAATAAGATATCATCGGTTTCCAAAATTAACAACTGGCAATGTCCAAGGAAAATCTGCGACTCCGGACGGGAATACTCGTTTATATAGCTTACATAGACAAATACTTCGGTATAGCTGGGGTTTATGTTTACCGTATTATTTGGAGACTTTAAAGATAATATGAAACATATTTTTAAAGTTTTATCATTATAAACCCTAGTCACTCTATATTTTTACATGTGTAGATTACCGTTTAATCAGTATATGCATGTAACGCCCGTTGACTCATTTTGTAACTAAATGTTTACCTTATTATTTTGTTATATTAATTTATACCTTATTTACTTATTTTTAACCAGCATTAAAGGTTCCCAGTTTTCCAGACTCGCTTGTGATTGACGAGACTACTAGAAACTTTGAGGACATCCTGCCCGTGGGAAACCTGATTCTCGGACTCTAGAATGAAAACAGCTATCAGTTTAAACATGAATTGAATTTAAAGTTATTTCTGCTAGCAGTGATAAACAAACTCATTCTAAGTTTGTTGAGAACAGAATCGGCGGTTATTTATGAAGTTGGGAATGAAGACTTTCTTATATGTATATGCTCAGCGTTAATATTCATTGTTACAGTGTTGAACTTAATTGGGTATTTTTTGTTTTCTATGCAAATTTAATTAATTTGATTGATTGATGTTAATTTGTCTCAAATCAATCTATTTTGATGCGATTTTTAGCAAAGATTTCTGAACTGTGGTCACATCCAATATATGTGTTCTTTATAACTTTGATAAAATTTCGCTTTCCCGATGCTAACGCTCTATCCGTAAAGGTCGATTGATGAATGGATGGATTGTTATTTAAATATTGCACGTCTTTTATTATTTTTATGTTATTTTGTTTCATTTATTGTTGTTATTCTGTTATACCTCATTCGATATGTTTTATAATAAATGCAAAACGAATAAGTACATATTTTTTAGCTTTTATTTTGTATGTGAAATCAATTATCGTTTATCAGAGGAAAATACAATGACAATGCATAGAGATAGGTCAGGCAACACAATAACATCACACTGACATACAAATATATTGACGAATGGAGCAGACGTTCACCTTGCTTCTTTGCCGGATTAAAAAAAAAATGACGCAATCGTTGATTCCTTTTTGCGTATTAAAGTAGTAATATGTATACTTTATATCTGATGCAACAAGTATGAAACACGTTATTATAACTTATATTAATCATTCCCGTTGGCCCGGACGTTATAAGCGCGCTGGGGGGTCTTGATGTGGAAGGAAACCGGAGTACCCGGAGAAAACCCACATGATCGGGGAGGTGACCCATACCTGTCCCCGATCGGGAAAACGAACCCAAACCACCTTGTTGAAAGGCGAGTGCGCTATCCACTGCGCCACCCGACCACCCAAAAATATAGGTTTCAAACAATATAGTATCAGTTACTATTTAAGAAAATCAACTAGGTATCGGGTACAGATATCTCATTCTTAGTATTGCATAACTGTTACGTTAACAAGTATAATACTTCGACTTCTCACGTGCACTGTACGATATAATGCTTAACGTTTCACGTATAAATGAGGGAAAACATATGTGTCATTCAAACGCAGTACAAACAGAAATATGAATGTTACCAGTTAAAAGTTGTAAAGGCTTGAACGACACATATTATAAACTAAAATTTGAATCTCACAAAAAATGTATAGCAAATTGCGAAACTCTATGTATCTCTGAGTTTAAATTACAATGAACAAAAAAAATGCATTGACACGCCATTTACATCTAAGGGTGGGGGTTACTCCATCTCTCATGTCGATAAAGCTGAACACGACTAGTATAATCGGTCGGGAATTTTAAAACGGTTTCTTATTCATTGATGATTATCCATATCAATACTTTAAAAAGTTGAGAGTTTAGGGCTAAAATTGTTTAAGTACAGTAATAGATTTGGTTATCTATATGTAATAACTTATGAATGATTTCTAGTGGCGATTGATTTGTCCATTGACCACCACCTATAATTTTGAGTATTTTCCTAGGTATTCATAACTTCCTTTCTCGTTAAAACGATGCTATCTTTCCTGTATATGCATGTAGATTTTTTCATTCTTAAATGTTTCAAGTAACTTCGTCGTCTCTATTTTTTGGAGGGAATTGTTTTTTTAAAAATCAATAGTCACTGGAACGGTACAATACATACTTCATTTAATGTAGTATTTCGAAAACCAGTAACATTTTGCGAGAAAACAGTACTCTACTTGACGAAAAATGGTCCTACATTGTATTTAAATACTGCAAAGTTTCTCACATCTTGAATATCCTTTGAAATATCAACAGTAGCAACGTCGAAGAAACTACCGTTACGATTATGTGGAAGCCAGTTTTATACATATTCAATGAGAAAAGTAGAATATTGTATAAGGGGTCAGAGTCCTTAGAGTAATTCATTAAACCAGCGACTCGTTTGTATTGTCGTTCGAGGACAGTGTTTTCACTATGACATCTGGGGTACGTTCGAGACGCTGTCCTGGACAGCCGGGACAGACGGAACAGCTCTCGAATGCGATGGCACAGCTGTTCCGGACTGTCCAATCTGTTCCCGCCGAGGAGGTGGTGTGGCGCGGCACAGTGACGTCACAAACATGGCGACTATCGAACAGGACTCGGTAATTTTACAAGTGCTCAAAGATCAAGAGGAAATTTCGCCCAAAAGTAATTGAAATAGATTTTTTCCTATAAATTGAGACCAGTTTGAACAACGTAACATATATTATATATGTGAATTTTTAGTTTTAGTGGGGGTTTTTTTCATTTACTTTTTTCAAAAATTTGTTTTCTTGATCCCTTCACGGCTATATGAGCTGAATAAAATAAGTTTTAAGTTGGCAAAATCGATTGGACATTTCTTTTTTAATCGTCAAAAACCACCTGCCACCATGCTAAGGGTATTACAGCCAGTCGAGAGTCTGCCGACGCCATATTGGATTAAGTACTTCCTGTTACGGCGCATTCGAAACGTCATGTACCAAAGAACAGTCAGGACAGGTTCTGGACAGGCGTCTCGAACACACCCCTGGTACTCTCCAGTGCCATATTTGTCTCAGGAATTCAATAATTATAGCACTGTAAGCTGGCTTGGCATTCACCTGCCTTACGACAAAAACGGTCGACTCACTATCTACCTACATGATAAATTGGATAATTATAATTCAGAGGAAATGTCTGTCGGTGGTAAATAACGTACTTATGTGTTGACACTAGAGTCTATGTTTGTACGCTTGTGGTTGATTTTGTTCGTTGATGCTAGCACTGTGGTATACCGTATATTCTTGTACTTGTGTGTTGACACTGTAGCATACCTTGTACTTGTGTGTTGACACTGTAGCATACATTGTCCTTGTGTGTTGACACTGTAGCATAACTTGTACTTGTGTGTTGACACTGTAGCATACATTGTCCTTGTGTGTTGACACTGTAGCATACCTAGTACTTGTGTGTTGACACTGTAGCATACATTGTCCTTGTGTGTTGACACTGTAGCATACCTTGTACTGGTGTGTTGACACTGTAGCATACCTTGTACTGATGTGTTGACACTGTAGCATACATTGTCCTTGTGTGTTGACAGTGTAGGATACATTGTCCTTGTGTGTTGACACTGTAGCATACCTTGTACTTGTGTGTTGACACTGTAGCATACATTGTCCTTGTGTGTTGACACTGTAGCATACCTTGTACCAGTGTGTTGACACTGTAGCCTACATTGTCCTTTTGTGTTGACAATGTAGCATACCTTGTCCTTGTGTGTTGACACTGTAGCATACCTTGTCCTTGTGTGTTGACACTGTAGCATACCTTGTACTGGTGTGCTGACACTGTAGCATACCTTGTCCTTGTGTGTTGACACTGTAGCATACCTTGTACTTGTGTGTTGAAACTGTAGCATACCTTGTCCTTGTGTGTTGACACTGTAGCATATCTTGTACTGGTGTGTTGACACTGTAGCATACCTTGTACTGGTGTGTTGACACTGTAGCATACCTTGTCCTTGTGTGTTGACACTGTAGCATACATTGTCCTTGTGTGTTGACACTGTAGCATACCTTGTCCTT